TATGTACTCTAACAGCGCTACATGAGCGGCTCTGTATCCTCTATTTATTTTCAAATAATAGTGCTTATATAAAGTTCTAAAACCAGTACCTGTGCGCACGGTATGATTAACTTAATGCTTTCGCAATATGTAACTGATCACGTAGTTCTCTAATTCTTTCAGCAATTTTATGCTATTCTAATCGCAAACTTAGTTCACGATGATAGTTTGAAAACCGTTTATATAGCCGATCTATTTCCTCGTTTCCATTAATACATCGAAAAATATGATGTGTTTTCAAAGATAACACATGTTGAAAACACATTTGTAAATCTTGTCAATAAATTTCTTCTTTCGTAGTCATCAATATTTTGAATTTTTCACCAATTCCCTACAGAAGAAAAGTTCTGTGTTCACCTGTATCATTCTACAAAGTCTGATTAGTTTTACGCAAACATTATTTACTTCTTTAGATACTGTGATATACAACAGCATGTTACTCACTGTCGAGCCATCGAACTTACTAGTGAAATAATACTATTGTTCGCTGTTTTCACGTTCAATAATGCTCAACTTCGTCTTATTAGCATTTTTATCAAGTAGTTTAGCACTTTCTTGCTTATTATTCTGCGAAAAACTAGTCTCTTCGGCTGAAATACACGGGTACGTCAACAATAGAGGCTCGCACTCGTTTTTAACCCTCCGGCGGTGTTTGTGGGCCCAAGAGGCCCGCAGTAGTGTTTTTTGGTTATTTTCTACTTTAAAATCTATGTAATTCGAAGCGATCTTTTCGCTAATCGTTAGTCTTCTAATGATATATAAGAACCATATGAAACTTTTTATAAAACTATCAGCAGTCAAAAACTAGAGTGTAGGTCCGTTTGGACCCCCTGACAACATTCGTGTTATATAGATGATTTTAATTCGTATTACGTATGCCCTCTATTGTTTCGAAGGTCTATCTATTGAAGATTGATTAGTTTGTTGCTGTCAGTAAGGAATAATGTGTTTCTCTATCCTTATTTATCTATCGAAATATTTTCACCATCCTCTTAACTTTTACTCACGACAAGCGTAATTCTTTTTTTTTCTTGAAAAATCAGCATGTTACGTATACTACAAGCGTATCAATGCATCAGTGACTGAAAAGAGATCATGATATAGACCTTGATCTATCTTATATAGTACAATACAGATGAATTTTCATGTTTTCCTTATGTATTTACGTGTGGGTCCAAGTGGACCCGCATACATCGTTCGTGTGACAAAATGAGAACACCTCCGGAGGGTTAATCTGGAAGCTTTCCTATTTTTCTTAAGTTAGAAGCATAAGATTATTATATCTTTCTTTGGTTTGTGCATCATCTGCATATCTATCTCGTACTAAACAATCGCTATTATCGTTATTTGTTTTCTCAAGTGATACCGGTTGTATACTCATTCCTAGTTGAATCATATCTGACGACAGCAAAATCGGTTGAGTTTGAATCACTAAGTATAATTTCATGAGATTAGACTTAAAATTAATTTTTCTCTATTCAAGGGAGAGGTGGCTGAGTATTCAGGAAGTATATAAAAGTACGAATTTTTCTTCTCCTCTGATAATATTGGTAATGGATTGAGGTCGGCGGATGAGTATATTTTCTCAGTTTTACTATTGTCTGTGACTAATCGAATAGATTTCAATTTTGTAGTTTTATTATTGAAGAATCCCAAATGACTCAATTGTGTCAAAATCGGCATTCCCTTTGCAGTCATCTTCTCGATAGCCCTCCATACGTTCTGAAGGTCGTAGAATATTTTTCTGTTAACTCATCTATGTCATGAATCTTGAATTTTGTTAATTCACTTACCGAGTCCTGTCCGGATTGATAAGGTTTTATGACACTATTGCTACTTTCAACCGATCGAGTGAATTTCGATTTTGTGATCGTACTGTCTAAGACCGTCAAAAATTTCAACTGCGCCAAAATTCCCATTTGCTTTTCAGCATCCTTCGGATGGTTTTTGATGCGTTCTTGCGTTTGTTGTATTTTTTCTGGTAACTTATTCACGTCATCAACCTGTAACTTGGTCAGTTCATTGATCATCTCTTGTTTGACGTAAGAAAGATTCATCACATTACTGCTGTCTTCAACAGATCGAGCGGATTTGAGTTCCCGAATCGTGCCATCTAAAAGCGTCAAATGCTTCAGCTTTTTCAGAACTGCCATCTCCTTCTCAGACTCTTCTTCTCTACAGTCTTTGATACATTCTTGAATTAGTTGTATTTTTTCTGGTAACTGATTCGCGTCATCAGTCTTTAACTTCTTTAGCCCGTCATTTAACTCTTGTTCGAATTGCCAAAGTTTCGTCACACTAGTGCCGTCCTCAACCGATGGACTGGACTTCAACTTCGTTACGGTGTCATCTAAAAGTGTTAAAACTTTCAACTGTGCCAGAACCTGTATTTCGTTTTCAGTATCTTCTTCTTTGTTAACTTCTCGCTGGTCTTTAATACGTTCTTGAGTTTGTTCAATTTTTTTTGATAACTCATTCATGTCGACAATCTTTAACTTCGCCATTTCATTAACCAGCTTTTGTTCTAATTCATAAATAATCGATTTCTCTTGAACTGGAGAGCGTAAAGTAGTAGATTCCAGTGTAACATCATCACGACCGTGGATACCTTGAAATTCATTCTGTTGAAAATGTTCATCTACAACGTCTATCCTGTTAGATGATTGATCATATGTTTGTTCTTCTCTATTCCGCATGCGATATCCTTCTGTCATGATCTTAAAATCGTGTTGAAGCAGTGAAGGTTGAGTATTATTGTGAGCTCTGAAATATATATTATGAATCCTTTTGATGAAAATATGAGAGATTCTACGATCCAAAAATGATGTTTATTCGAGAATAAAAAAATTAGAATGAATAACTGACTCCATGAATAAAAATGCGAATGAATATATACGTGATAGCGCATGTAATATCAAATAGAGAAAAATCAGAAAGAATGTTATTGTAGACAACATTCTTTCAAATATGAATGTCATATCTAGGAATCAGCAGTTTTACTTTACTGATCACTAAAGTGACCACACCGATTTCACTACGACACTGACTTCATTGGCACAATGTGTACTGAAGCACTGAAATACTAGTTTTTACTAATGTCTCAGACCAGTGTTTTATCTAGGTTTTTCTTTTCGAGAGTGCGATAGTGATTTCTCGAAAGGTAAAACCTAACTTCTGGAGGGGATATACATAGTATAAGCACGAAAATTGCAATTTTCGAGAAGGCAAAATCGTTCTCCGGGAGGGCGCCGCCATCCCTGCACTCCCTCTAGATAAATCACTGTCTTAGACATATCCGTATCGATAGATACTAGTGTTCTCATGCCTTCAAAGCTTCAATATGCACTGTACTAGTGTGGTCAATGTTACAGTGAACTCACGAGGGAACCTCACCAACTGATACTCCGTTTGTGCTCATATTAGGCTCCCAAGTAGGTCTTAGTGAGACTAGAAAAAACCTAAAAGGGTTCATCCCCTTAGGCCTTTTAAGCCGTGTTACAGCCTTTTTACTGAATTTTTGACTATTTTCTCGATATTGAGCAAAAATTCAAACAATGGAGTTTTGAGCTGAAATTTTGTCCATAAACAGGTCTAATTATCTCTAGAATATCATGAAAATTTTACCTGGAAAAACTGTTCCTGTGTCGAGATATGGAATTTTTAAAAAATCACCGTTTGTCGCAGACAAGGAGCAAAAAGTCAATTTACTTGAATATCCACTATCTCAACACAGGAACAGTTTTTTCTGGTAAAATTTTCAGGATATTCTAGAGATAATTAGACCTGTTTATGGACAAAATTTCAGCTCAAAACTCCATTGTTTGAATTTTTGCTCAATATCGAGAAAATAGTCAAAAATTCAGTAAAAAGGCTATAACACGGCTTAAAAGGCCTAAGGGGATGAACCCTTTTAGGTTTTTTCTAGTCTCACTAAGACCTACTTGGGGGCCTAATATGAGCACAAACGGAATGTATCAGTTGGTGAGGTTCCCTCGTCAGTGACGACGAATAACTGGCAGTTTTTCTGTAATTTCACTGAAGCTGCTCGTTCCTAAATGTATCTTACATTGACTTGTTCATATTTTAACAATCCCAATACAAACAAGAAGTAACCAGCTAAAATTCCTGCTATGATAGTTTGAATCACAGTACCTTAGCTTATTGAGTCCACTTATTTCGATTTTATGTAAGCATAGTTGAGTGTGGATACAGTTGAGGAGTCATTTTTTCTATATTCTCACTTAAATCCTTAACAGAGATCGATTGATGCTGATGCCTCTGTTCTATTTACGCGAAAAGCTGATGTCTTTACGTGCCTTATACTTGAATAGTGGTCTTCATTTGCATAGCAGATCTCTGATAAGAAAACGAAGAAAGGCGCACTTTTTGGTTGTAATCAGCAGGTTTTTTCCAACATGATAAAAGAAAACAACATAGAGTCATTACACAGGTAAAATAGTGGTAAATGAGAAAGCAAAGACGTCAATGTGAGGGTGTGTGGGTGTGAGTGTGGGTGTGGGTGTGTACAAAGAGATAATATACACCCACACCTCACCCCTCACCCCTCACCCTCACCCACACCCACACCCACGTAATTCTTAAATTAAGAATAACTTCATATCAGTTCATATTTGTAACAACCACTTTGATTAATTTTATCCATTCATTTTTCTTCATATGATTCTTTTATTGCTATGTTCACACAAAAATAAATACATTCTTATCCTTACCTACACCTGCACACTGTAGCACAATCGTATTTTATAAAGCGATACGCGGAGAAAAGAAAAAAAAAGATTAAGAATGACGTATTTTCTCAAACTTAAAGTGCTCTATCGATATGATTAACGTTTATTATTATACTTAACAATCTTAATCAAATATAACTAAAAACAGTTTTTGATTTCAAGAAAAATGACGTCTGAATAATGAGACTAGGAAAAGAAATTTTGTATTTTTTATCAATCAGTTTGATCGATATCGTTTAGAAAATTTCGATTACATAATTTACTCAATAATTGCCAGGCATCTTCAAAATTATCAGGCTTCAATCTCGATGGAACAAAGTTAAAATCAGCATACATATTGATTGCTCTCCAACTTGTTGTTTGTGAATCAAGATAACATACGTTTGAATATTCAGCAATCTTATGTAAAACATACGATACTAATGGTTTTGCCAATTTTTTTCCTTGATACTCTGGAATAATAGATACCCACCAAAGACTACCTTCTTCTTTCCCATTAATTTGATCTATACCAGCTGTAGCTGTACCAATATATTTTCCTTCAGGATTAACAAGAAAATACAGACGTTTCGAAATTAAATCATTCTTCTTATATTCTCCAAAATATTTCTCAAACATTTCCATACCTTGTTCTTTTGTTTTGAATTCTCCAGCCGCTTTGCATATGTCGATCCACTTTTCATCATCATTTGAATCTTTTTTATATGGTTGAAATGAATATCCAGATGGTAATGAATAAGATGGTATCGAATCCATATTCGGTCGAAACATTTTCATGCTAAAATATTTGATTTCATCGGTTGATTTATGTAGATAGTTGTCCGCCATGATTTTGATGATAAAGACTCGTTAAAGAACCGTAAATGAAACTATTATATATACTGACGTGTAGTATGAGTACTGAATCATATGTGTCACATGGAAGAAAAGAAAAAAACAAAATATATTTATTTGCATAAGATTGAGGTATCTTTATTTTGCTACATATAAATCATCGGAGGAAAGTTATGGTGAAAGGCTTAAAACTGATTACATTTTTGCAGCTGTGAGTTGGGTGAGAACAGAGTAACTCACATCCGCAACGTTGGTTATTATATTTTAAAAATCTTGATCAAAAATAACAAAAAACAAGTTATGATTTCAAAAAAAGTGAATAATGATAGTAGGAAAATAAATTTTGTGTTCATTATTAATTAGTTTCAGTGGTAGCGGCTAGAAAACTTTGATTACAAAATATACTGAATAATTGCCAGGCATTTTCAAAATCAGTTCTGTATCAGCAAATGACATGTTGGTGTAAACTAAGAATAGTACTATAAAGAAAACGATTGTTGCTATTTCAGTGAAATGTCTACTAGAATTCAATGATTTTTATTTATGAACAAGGATATTTTATGTGCTTCGTTCATTTCCATATTCAATTAATGAAACTTCTGAACAGTGTCGACTGTCACGTGTACTCTATGCGCTGTTTATTGTTAAGAAGAAAGAGATAAAATATAATAAGCCAGTTTCCATAGTATTCTTTTATCGTCGGAGCATCAACTCATTTTTTTCTTCTTTAAGTCTGTTCTTTGAAAAGAATTATTCTTTTATGAGCTGTCAACCAATCCTATATTACTTTGACGTATAAAGGTTACATAAAAGAAAAAAGAAAAGTAAGTTCTACCGTCTTATTCATATAGTGAGATAAGACGAGAAAGGAAATGTTTCAAATGACGTCTATATCCTATATAATATCTATATATAGATAATTAATAGATTAGTGAGTATTACTGTAGTCATTCTTCAAATACATGTGTAAGTAAACACTAATTGATTTTTTTTTCGCTTTGTAATTAAGTATTTACATCGATTATAGATATTAATTTGAGACGATTCATACTTCGAAACATCTTTAACACATATCGTCAGAGAAAGTTTTGATGAGCTGACTTGAAAGAATAAGACGTGTGATGATGATGAATTGTAAGTTAAATTTTTCTTAGTTCATGTTTCAAAAAAATATTTAGTTTGTATGCATGAGCTTCTAACATGTTCTATTCAAACATGTTTTACAGTTTCATATATATCTATATTTTATCTGATTCAATCTTTTAGATTTGGTTACCGCATTAAATATCGTTAGAATGACAATTAATCTTCGAATAAAATCATTGATTTGTTTAAGACATCGAATAACACGTATCTGTATTTTGATAATAATTATTATTTTATTAATATATCATATGTTACAACGTTATTCAGTTAAAAAAAGTTTAATGGAAAAAGATTTATTAAGATATGCAAATGTTAGTTGGCCTCAACATCGTATACCTCGTATAATTCATCAAACATATAAAACATATAATATTCCTGAAATTTGGAATACATCTATTCAATCAATAATCGAAACAAATTACAAAGATTTTCAATATCATCGATGGTCTCATGAAGATATGCGTTTATTTGTTCAAAAACATCAACCAGAATTTTATCGAAAAACTTATGTTAATTATAAATATGATATGCAAAGAATTGATTCATTTCGATATGTATTAATGTATCATGTAGGTGGAATTTATATTGATATGGATAATGGTTGTAATTATCCATTGAAATATATTGTTACAACAATGGAAGCCTTAGATCCATATTCTCCTTATCTTGCTCTTTTTCCTGCTGAAGATACATTTGGTCTTCAAACCGATTTTATAATTAGTACATCTAATCATCCAATATTTAAACAATTTATTTCAAATTTACATTTATTTAATCATAATTATCTTCTTCATCATCTAACTATTTTACTTAGTGCCGGTCCACTTTACGCAACTTTTCAAGAAAGATTTTTTAATCAAACTGAAAAACAAATTGTAAGAATATTAGATAACCAAATTTATAACACAATTTTTTGGAAAACTAATGGAGGAACTTGGTTTGAAAGAGATACTCTTATTATCCTCTATATTTATTACAATAGAAATACAATTTTAAAATATTGTATTATCATTCTTATCTTTATTATTATAATTATTATCTTATTTAAACGACGTAGAATAGATTTTCTAGTTAAATTAACTATTAGACAATCAAATCATATTTTTTATCCAAAGAATTTTCGACGAAAATTTCTTAAATTATTTAAAAACAAGATTTCATCTAAACAAATAACATAACATTTACTTAAATCAATCTCTACAGTAATTATCTTCATCATTGTCATATAGATCAAAGGGTGGATGTGGGTTAAGGTTACAGACGCGCATCCATCCACCCATATATTCTTTACTAGCCTGTAGAGGGCGTATATATTGAATGGATAGTATGAATATAAATAGATAACGCTATTTAAATAAATTTTGATTGGTTCGAAAGTTTAATCCAATGAAAACGAAAATAAGGAAAAAGAAAGAATAAACAATAAATTTAACTAAAGATAAACGTTTACATCTTCATATGAATTTATAAAAAATTTTTTTAAGATAAATCTATGGATACTATTAAACGAAAATCACCTGTTGATTATCTATCAAAAAAATTTCGAAGTAAGTTCTATTTGTAAAATAATTTTTTTTCTATTTTAAAAAATAATTAGATGAAAGTCATCAATCGATAAATTACATTGAAAATATGTCAAACGAATGTTTTTTTGAAATATTCGATTATCTTGATGGTTATGAAATCTATGAAGCATTTTCAAATTTAAATTCTCGTTTTCAACAACTACTTTATAGTTCAACACTTTTATATAAAATCAAACTTGATGTTTCAACATCAGAAGAAATATTTAAGAAGAATTACAGTCAACTTATAGATCGTCATCAGTCTCGAATATTTTCAATTCATTTAATAATGAAGAACGTTATGTTTCCTGCAACATCGTTATTTATTGTTATTTCACAATGTATGCATCTTGAATCACTCGTTCTTTATAATATCAGAGCACATTTACTTCATTCACTTCTTAAAAATTTAACTAAATTACCTTGCTTATTCTTATTAAAAATTAATACACACAATAGTTTCACCTTACAAGAAATAAGTGATACCTATCAATTCACATTCGCCTTACCAAAATTAAAATATTTCGAATTTGATACAGATACATATGACACTACTAACTTAATACTTCCATTATCAATTGCTACTCATCAACAATTCAGTCATATCACATGTTTTTGTATTGGCCAATCTTGTAGTTATAAAGAATTATTTCCTATTATATCTTATACACCAGAACTTTATCGTTTGAAATTATCATATGCAGTTTATGATGATGAACCAGACATCGAAAATGTTTTAAAAATTTCATTAAAAAATTTAAAGTATCTTTCATTCGAACGGTTTGAAATGGAATTTAATGAATTAAAATTATTTATGAACAAAATTCTTATACCCAAATTAGAATTTTTACGTGTCAATGTTGAATATAATGATATAGTCTGTTTTAATGCTAATCAATGGGAAGAATTAATTTGTAAAAATTTTCCTCATTTGAAAAAGTTTTATTTAAAATATCCAGAAGACTATCATCGTGAATGTGTAATTTTGAAAAATTCTACTCAACTGAAGCAATTCTTCTCCTCGTTTTGGATTGAACGACAATGGTTATTGAATATCGAAATCAATGATAGTAGTATTATCTATGGAATTCATCCATCTACACGAAATGATGGTATCAATTCTTCTACTCAATTTATCCTTAGAAGTAATAATTATTCTGATGAATTTTGTATCTTATTAAAATCAGCTATTGATTCTTTATCACCTACAATTGGACAAATTTATGATTTAGAAATTTCAGATATTTCTCTCAATAGATTTATTCAAATTCTAAATTTCTTACCGAAACTTAGTTCATTAAAAATTTCTTCTTTATCATTAAAACAATGCAAATGTTTATCTAATGATGAAAAAGAACGTCTCAATTTTATAACAAATCAAAATCAAATCAGAAAAATTATTTTAGAACAAATGAATGATATTGAAGAAATTATTTTTCTTCTTGAACATTTTACTCAAATGACTTATCTTAAAATAGATTCAATTAATACTCTTCACATGGAATTATTTCTACGAATTATTTTATTAAAGATCCAAACGAAGCCAAATCATCAACTAAAATTATTGTCATTTTACATATCAGCAGCAGACGATAAAATGATTGAAACATTACAAACAATGATTGATTTTGAAAAACTTCTATTTAATTATACAATTAAACGTTCAATGGAAAATATCATTCTGGAATGGACATAAATCTCATCTTTGTTCTTTCTTTTCTGAAAAAGTTGAAATAAATTTATTTACATTGAATATCAATTGTATTCATAGTTTAAAACTTTTGAAGTTCTTGTTTTGCTAATAGTTAGGTAGAGAGTGAATGCTGATGATTGAATGTGTCTTTACACTGTTGTTCTTTTTAATCACACCGACATATTCACTGTAACGAACTATAATGAAAGAAGTACTCGTGAGATAGTAACACACACTTCTTTATACAACAAACTCTCGGTCATACATAGAATATATACTCATATGAGAAGGATAAGATAATGAATAGCGGTTACTCGAGAGGAGAAGCGTAACTGACTATCTGCAGGCTATACGAGATAGATGAAGGTGACAATATCTCTTCATACTCATATTTCATTCAAATAAATACTAATTGTTTTGTGTCGTCCTTTCGACAATCTTTCTAGTAACAATGAAAGTAGAATGATTGCACTGCAGAAAATCATCTAAATTTGAATTACAGATTGTCTGTTTTTACTATTTTAAATGATTGACGATTTGAAATAATTTTTAAAACACAGCTACCAACTTAGCTTTGTTCATATTTTGATATCACCTTAAAGTCTACTTTATTTTCATGTATTCACTACTGCCAGATTACAATCAATTTCGACCTCTACTCTTTAAAATAGTTTCAAACCTTTTCTATTCTTGTTATTGACGATGATTTTTGCATTTTCTTTCTTTCTTTCTTGCATTAGTGGTAGTAACATGGTTGCGATGTATAACGACGTATTGCCAGCACAAAAGTACCTTTCGTTTGTGTTTATACGATGTTTCTTTTCATATTAATGCGTGACGAAAAAATATTTCTTTACCTACACAAACAATACTATTGTCTTCGTTTGTGCGTGTGTGTATATAAATGTGAGTGCAAGGAGTAGTTTTTTTCTTGAGATGTAAGTAATGTGTCGTTAGATATGAAAACGGCTTTATTCATTGTCATTCATAGATAAGCAAGTTTTTTTCTTTCTCTATCTTTACATTTGTATATAATGAGACCGGCTAAACTTTACTGCCATTCACTGAAACGCTAGAAGTAAATTGGACATAAGCATATCTTTACAGCATCAAATGTGATTTTAATTAGAGAAGAATACTCGAACAGGTGAATTAGTTTAATGAACACTTCTAGTAGCAAATAGATAGCTAACAAAACTAGACCAACTTTGAAAATTGACTCGATTTCTTCCCTAGACAACTGCTAAGAGATGTTCTTCTGATATTGTCAATATTTTCCCTTTGAGCCAAGGTAGAGTTTACTAATAGAGATTCAGTTAGTAGAGAAAAAGTGTGCGTGTAATATTAGTACAATTTGTTGTATTGCTATAATCCAATAATAATGCATATTTACTATTTCGTTGAGGAAATAACTTGTTTACTTAAGCCTGAAACATGAATATCAACAATTATAAAAATTTATAAACGTTGAGCTATGTATCTCTTTTTTCATTAGATGTCTGTTTCAACGTTCGTATTAGTTCCTGGCGCTTGGCATTCATCATCATGCTGGCAACGTGTTGTTCCATTACTTCAAGCACATGGTCACCGCGTCATTACAATGGACCTTCTTGGAACAGGTAATGATCATACTCCTCTCTCACAAGTCAAACTGGTTACTTGGGTAAATCAAGTGGTTGATCTCATTAAAGAGCAAGAAACGCCGGTGATTCTGGTTGGTCATAGTCGTGGTGGTATTATCATTAGCGAAGTTGCCCAGAGAGTGCCTGAGAACATCAAGCTTCTCATCTATTTGGCGGCATTTATGATACCGTCTGGCGAAACCGTTTCAAGCACTGTACTCGAACGGAAGAATGAAGATTCCTTTGTATACCATACCAACGGCACATTTACTATCAAAACAGATAAAATGGTACCTGTCTTATACAACACTACATCATCCGAATGGATAGAACGCATACCGAGTATGTTGTCACCAGAGCCGTTAAACATCTTCTCTACACCACTACAACTTACTGACGATCGCTATGGACGTGTGCCGCGTGCCTATATTGAGTGCACTCAAGATAATGCTATTTCACTCACATTGCAACGTCTCATGCGTGATAAATTACCCTGCAAGTATGTCGTTACGATAAATGCAGATCATTCGCCATTCTTCTCAGCACCATCTGAACTGGCAACTGGTTTGCTCGACCTTGCAGCAAAAGATTAATAGCAAATGTCTTACTAATTTTACACAGAACTCTATTACTTATATTCAGTAGATATAATATGTTACTCCTAATATAAGAACCAATACTAACTACTCTTATCACTTCTATATATACTCTCGTTCATTATATGCTCTAAAACAAGTTGTTTTTTTATTCATCAAATAAAAACACATTATAATATTACAAAATACTTACACTAATTTTTAGACTATACTTTGGTGTGAATGTGGGCGAAGACATTGATAAGATTCACGCCCTCAGATCAAGTATAATCATCGACAGAAATGTAAATTGGGTATAGTATGTTAAGAAAGCGATATTTAAACTGGTTTACTATTTTCCCATCTACCTTTTCTCAGTGTTTGTCCATTTGAATCTGTCACAGTTCCTTGTCCATGTAACTGTCCATCTCTAAATTCACCGTCATACTTTTGTCCATTTGAATAACACATCGTACCATGTCCATTCATATTGTCATTTCGATAGTCTCCTTCATACCATTGGGTACCATCTTTTCTCCAGATAAACTTGCCTCGACCTTCTTTTGCTCCATTTACCCACTCTCCATTATATTTATTTCCATTAGAATAGTTACAAATACCTCGACCGTGTCGTCTGTTATTACAATGTTCACCTTCGTACTTATCTCCATTGGAATAGTAATAAATTCCAACACCGTTTCGTCCACCTGCCTTAAACTGTCCCTCATACCGATCACCTTTGAATTTATCTTCATTAATCCATATAGTTCCTTGGCCATCTGGTTCACCTTTGTCATTGATTTGCCCAGTATATTTTGTATCGTCAGGATAATTTATGGTTTTAGACAATTTTTCACTTGATTTTACAACATCTTCGTCGTCACTAATTTCTTTCAAATGAATAACATGCAGTCCACCTTGATGATCGAACGAATTACTAAAAACTTGCAACTGTGTTCCAGGCATCAGCAGCACTTCATGTTCATTTGGAAAACATGTATATTCTGATACATCTTTGCCATTTTGACATTCAATAAGAAATAACGTTGAGTTCGGCGAAGTACCAATAAAACCTTTAATTACATCAACTTTCACAGTACAAGAACTCACCGTCCACCATGTAATTACTTGTTTTTCTTTGAAGGACGCACTCAAATCTCTCGAGACTCCACGCCATACGACTGTTTTTATCGATGGTAGTTTTGTTGTTGCTGCATCAATCAGTCGTAAATAAGAGAAGAACGGTTTTAAAAGTAGTCGACTTTCTTCACGAAGAGCTGCGTTTAGAAGAGCATAGAAGTTATCCTGTCCTTCACCAGTTTCCATAGTGTAAAGATAAATCGAAGCACTTTCATCTCTAGTGAGGCCGTATTTTGAATCTATCGGACAGTGTTTCTTAGCTGTTTTAGCATGAACATCGATGAATGGAATAATACTTAACAAGGGTTCGACGGCTTTTTCGATAGGAAGAAGTTGTATACTAAGATACCCCGATATAGCTGGGAGACGTTTGTTGTTAGGATCGATATCAGAGAAGCGTGAGCCCGAACTCATGGTTAGAATTAAGATAAAGCTACACTGGTAATATATCTGAAAGGAAAAAGAAAAATCATATTGTCAGTTTCACATTCTTCTCGAAGTAAACCAGAATTTTTTGTTCTTTAAGCAGATGTAATAATATAGCGTCAGTGTTTTTGTTCTTTAATAAAATGAATGCCATAGAAACAATATATTTCTTTTTTTGTATATTTTCTCTTTGCTTATGAAGGAATAAAAAAAACGAATGTTGTATTCGTACAAAACGTGATTATTTCAAATTTTGTGTCGGAGCAAAAAGCAAATTCTCGTCTTTTCTCGCTTATAAGCCAATCATTTTTATTTTTTTCTACTTCAAAATACACATGGTTGTAAAATGAGGGTGTAGATAATGATTTAGAGGAATAGTCACGGCCACATGCACATGCACATGCACACCCACACCCTCAAGATGGTTGTTTGGTTAAATCATATTGTAAGAATAAAATTAAAAGAAACTGATAATTCACCATAGTTCTTGTTTTATCTAAATAGACAGAAAACATCAATTTCTTTGTGATTGTGTAAAAACAATATTTTGTATGTGCATTCATGTAAAAAAAAGACATTCACTCGTATGTTTATAAACACTTTCTATTGATCATACAATCGATTTTATATGATGCGAATTCAATCAGACTTTGTTTTGCAATAGATAGTACATACGTAACTAGATACTTTTTCGTACAAGACAAAAATAAATATTATACCGACCTTATCAAGAATCTTTGCATTGTTTAGCTGTTTCAAAATAAATGGTCGCTCTTTTATACATAACATGACGCTATATAGAGAAGATAGACAATGAACGACGGTTGAGTGCATCGTTCAGGCAAGAAAAAAAGAGGTCAGATAATGAATATGTCGAAAGAGAAAAAGAGAAAATATATTTCAGTGCAAACATGTGAAAAAATGATTTAGTAATTGTTTCTCACTAACGCAACTTTTAAACTGTGTGAATCCATTGATTCGAAACATCAAGTGAACCAAATATTATCCAAGAAAATAAATACATAAGTTTTCATTAAAAATTAGGTTCAGAATATATATTCTTATCCAAATAATCGTAATTGTAGGAGTATAAACTTTGCTAACTATCTTTCCAAATGATTTTTGTGTCTACAACCAGTTGTTAACTAGGATTTCATAGAAATGTTTATCTAAATAGAGAGCTTATTTTGGAAGAGAATCTATTGAAATGTGTCACTTTCTATTTGTAAATAGAGAAATAAATGAGATATTGTTCCTGCATCTTTTCGTTAGAATTGAAAAGTAATATCGTGTTTTTGAAAGTGTATCTATTAAATTTATAGAGTGGTCGTTATGAAAACTTTTTTAAAGTTAGTTATTGTGTCTATACAGATTGCAGTTGGTTTTCCAGGAACGTTAAAACAAATGGTGAGCTTTAAGTAAGAATCTTGGCAGTGAGTGCATCCTCATACTGATTTAACACTCTGAGTAGCCATATAAACAATCAATGCATTGCTCATATAAGCAGAGTGTCTTTGATTGATACAGCAAAAATGAAAAGAAAATACTGTATTTTGTTGAAGAAATACGAATGACATACTGAACTTTCACACGAAAGAATCGCATTTTCGCTGCTATATAATGAACAGCATTTTTAGTTGTCTCTTTTCAGTTATTAACTAGTATCAATACAAACTATAGAATTACAAAGAATGATTCACCTTCTCAGTAAGACATTTTCATATATATATATTTATTTACTCAATTTTTTTAAGGTTTGTTCTCTATCAGAGATCACGATTTTGAGATTTGTGCATGACTCGATAACCACTATTGTTAACTTTTGAAAACAATATGATTCATCGAATCTATTGGGGTATGAGTAATGGCAAGAGAGTAAACAATCAGAAATTGAATTCTTCATAGTATACAATTTAAAATTTATTTTTCACTCTTACATATATGGATGTGAAAGAGAATAAATAGTTAGCTAGATATATTATGCACCTGTTGCATTTATATATATTATTATTTGCGTCGTTTTGTTTAGATAAAACAATAAAATTCAATTTTCCTTTCTTACTGCTGGAACGCGGGAAGAAAGAAAACTAATTATTTTCTATCTTTGTCAAGATATTTATAATATTTTTTTTTTGTTTTCATTATATTATCCACTTGTATTATTACTTTGAGAACAAAAAAATAAAAGGTACGGAATATTCACTTCTATCATAGCGGAAATAGTTATACATTTTCCTTTGCGTTGAAAACATGTTTTTTTCTACATAAAATAACAAAACTTCATCTTTAACAATAATTATTAAAATATTTCAAATTATTTTATTTATCTCGAACATATTTTACTGCGGGGTTGTTTTTCTTCTAGAATTTCTCTTGAAAGGACTGACGGATGTAGATGAGGGTATAAGAAAATAAATACTCGCGATTATATCTACTCCGCTTTCAAGATACTTTATAACGCCGGGTGCATTAGACAGATGAAATTAATTTGTTGTAAAGATTATTTGAAAACACAAAAATTCACAATGCTTTATTTAATGACCCGTTAATATAGAAACATTGAGAACTATGAAGAAAACATAATTTCAAGGCAATTCTAGCAATGTCTAAAAATTCACTATTTAGTACTGAGAAAAACTAAGAATTTTAGTTTTGTTAAAGAGTAAACAAAAAATATATTCGGACGACCTAAAAACTGTTAGTTTACATAACTCTGTAGTTAGTTAATAGAAATATATTAATCTATATATTAAAAATAAATAAATCAACATGGATTATATCAACTAAGATCAGATATAAAAGAAGTTAAATATCAACATTCAGTTTTTGAAAAAAGTTTGTTTTTCTTTTTATTATAGAAAAAAAATTATCTCCAAGGAAATAGAAAAAATAAAGAATTGTTTTAGTGTTATTACTAAACAATAGCATTTCTCTGGAAGAAGAGAGAATTAATTTTTTTAAAGAAAAATAACCAGACCAACCAATAAAACAATTGACATTTTTCTCCTATAAACTATTTTTTTTGAAAAAAGAGAAAATATAGTCACTTTATAAAATAAGACGTATTGGCATAATACAGAAAGTAATATATCGTATGTATGTTTTATTTTATAGAAATATTTTGACTTTATAAGAAGACAACTCGTTCTTGATTGAATCAATTCATTAGAATTTCGTCTATTCATTATAAATTATCTCAATTTCATTTAAGTTTCAAACAGATAAATTTTTCATTGATTTTTTGTTGAAAAAAATTCAAATAATTATGAACAAGTTTATTTTTCAATACATTTTTAAATCTCTTCTTCATTTTATTACATAAACTATCTATTTATTCATATGATTCCTATGCATAAGTCGCTCGAGAGATATTTAAATAAATAATATGAAGATAATTTTTTATATTATTTATTTCAATTTAATAAAATTTCGGTATTTATGAAGATTTACTCGATATCTTATCTATTTTTTTCAAAAAGATTATAAAACTCAGTTCTAATACTAATCATTACCAACAGAAAGAATTTTTTTAATCACTAATTACGTGGTTTACCTGGCTGTTTCTTAATATTTTTCAATTTCACGCATTGTGAGTTAAAAACATACGGTAAAGAAGAAATTTTAATTACCTAAAGATATCTATATATAAAATGGACGCATAGTATAATAATATATGATTTGTCAGTACAACTTTCTATTTTTATAATTGTATTTTTTTGAGTATGTGTAAAACCAGAACCTCGATTTCTTTTAAATATTTATTTATATTTTACATTTGATATAGTCGTTTGTTATAATACAAATAAGTTCCTGAATAATACACATTTCTATTAGATCTACATAATGATTTATACCCAATGAGATACAAGGATTCATTAAAATTTATTCTTCAAATAAAATAAAAAAAAAAACTTTCTTCTTCTTCTTTTTTACATTTTGTTTTCTTATGAATAACTAAATAAAAGAAATATCTCCAATAATAGCCATATGCTGTCTTATTCTGTAAAACTTTATTTATTTTAATAGAATATTTAAATCCACAGAAAAAAAATATTTATCACGAATGTAAAGATACAAAATTAGTTTAGTTTAAGTTTGCAGACTAAACAAAAATGGAAAATAATTCTCTACTGATAGATCTATGTTATATATTTTTATTTAATTAAGATTGATAAGATTAAATTCGAACTGTTTGAATATGCATGAGAATATTATCATAGTATTAATGTGAGGATTAGTAGTAAATAAAATATTATGTTTTTTACTTGTCCCATGATTCTATTCTACTAACATCTCTTTGTTTAGTTTTATAAAAAAAATATTACTAAGAAGATTCAATTTGAATTATTTTTTCTACATAATTGTTATCATTGTTCATTATGTATATAAAATTCTTATTCTATTAGTTAGTTAATTAATAATATGATATATAATATTTTATTTAGATATTAATCATCATGATTGATAGATATTTGAAATATCTTTCGATAAAATTAATTGTGATTATTACTACGTAAGAAATATTATATTTTATTTATTAGATTATATAGTAAAAATAATTTTTATTAGGTTTTTAATTGATAAAAGCTCCGCTTTATCTATCTGTCCAACGGCTGTTTGGGCAACGAGAGGGACCACAGTAGCTGGTTCACAATCAGGCGCTGCTAGTTCTACATTGAACCGATTTACTCTACCAACCATCGTTATTGTGGACAATAGCAGTAATATTTATGTGGCTGATAGTGGAAATTTTCGTGTATTACTATTTCCACCAAATTCAACTCAATCGACTTATGGTACACTGATAATCAATGGTACCTTTGGTACCGAATTTAATCAATTCCAGACGAGTAAGTATACAATTATTTTATTGATATTTTCATTGCAGTTTTTCGATTTATTCTAGTGGATGGTATGAGTATAGATGCGAATGGTAATATTTATATATTGGATGGAACTTCATCACGTGTAACAAAATGGACACCAGG